GATACAAGTAGGTGAACAGATAAAGCCCTACATTTCATTCGAAATGTAGGATTAATAAAGAGTTAGTCGAAGGGAACAATAGATCACTGAAGGTAGCGGTGCAAGGGCCGGATTTCATGGCCCTCCCCTTATACATACAAGGCCGCGCCATAGCTCAAGCGGTTAGTCGCTGGCTTCTCACCGCGGCGGCCCGGGTTCGATCCCGTGTCTGGTCACGTGGGATTTGTGGTGGACAACGTGGAACTGAGGCAGGTTTTCTCCGAGTACTCCGATTTCCCCTGCAAATTTTCATTCCACCAGTTGCTCCACAATCACCCTCACCTATCATCTGGGACTGGTACAATAGGCCAGAAGTGGCCGCAGTACAAGGGACTTAGTCCCACCCCACTAGCAATAAAAAAAAGTTTCAAATGAGGATGGAAGATCGAATATGACAAACTACGATGAGTTCCCATGATTTCACAACTTAACGACTAATACGAAGCCATTAACATTAGTTTCTTACAGATTCTATATCACAATGGAAGTAAAGTAACGTGAAACTTGGGAATGTGACGCCTGTCGTCACAATCAATATCAGTACACACTTCGCTCGGTTCCCGAATCTGTTTGTTACAAACGGCCATAATATGAGCAAGACAGCATTCAGTACTTAAGTATTGTGACGTACAGACCCATTGTTAGGCAACGACTCAGCAAACACATTCCCGCGAGAGACAATGCGGGCAAAAATAGGAATTCTATTGCCAAGCAAAGGATCAGTAAACACGCTTCATTATCCATACAGGCTGTTTCCTGCGTGGTCCGTGCAAAATGGATATAAATTTGGGTTCAGGTGAGAAGAGTTAGTTGTCAGACGTTGAGATCTGGAGGCTGCGGGTTCAGGTGACAGAAGAAAGGAATTAGGCTGTGAAAATGAGATTTCCTGTACGATTTACAGTTACAGTGAGACTAGTATAACTACTGTGTTGAAATCCGTTGACAGGATACGACTAGTGAAGAAAGAGCCCTAGTGCGTGTGTAACTTTGAACTGTAAAGTGTGTAGAACGGCGATTGCGCAGTAATTACGTGTAATTCCGAGTGGAGTGCATAAGGTGTCAATAAATCCAATCATCCACTCCAAACCCCCGCCTATACTCACTCCATTTCGTGACAGTGTCATACAGCAGACCACACAAAAGCAAATCTGATGTTGTGACTCGGGGATGAATCAGGACATGGAACAGCCTATCTCTCTCATTGATACTATTATCAGTGGTTATACACTTCTTGAGACCGTCTCTGTGGTCTAGTGGTCAGAGTTCGTGGCTACAGATCTAGAGGTTCAAGGTTCGATTCCGGACGCTACAAGATTTTCTGAGAAGTAGTGGGACTGAAACGGGGTCCACTCGGCCTCGTGAGGATAATTTAGGAGCTATTTGAAGGCAATAGCGGCTCCGGGCTAGAAAACCGAGATTAACGGCCGTGGGGATCCGTTGCGCTGACCACGCGACACTCTCTATCTGCAAAAGTTGACACTAACTTCGCCGACAAGCGGAGGTCGCTCGGTCGGTATAGTTCGCTTGCGAACTACATGCCTCGGAGTTTGTTTGCTTGTTTTATACACTTCTTGATGACTTTTCAGTAATTGCTTCTTTCAAGAGCCCACAAGAGGAAGAACATATTGATTTTCGTTTAAAGATATTCAATTTCAGATATAGGTACAGCCGAATGAGAAATGAAAAGTCGGTCGTGGCTAGTGAACCGAAGAGGAGTTTTTGAGGACGATACAGCCTCATTTCAAGACACGATCTTCTTTTACAGACTGAATAAAGCCACGAAAGAGAGAGGGAGTAATTGACTGAGATTCGAAATTGACACTTTCTCAATATGTACATTTAATGGAAATAATCATTTCATGATCTAGCACACATTCCCGACAAGTTACAGTAAATTGAAACAAGACGGCTAGGAAGAATAATGCTATCAGTTTCTTTTTAAGAAACGTGACGAAGTTTCNTCGGTTAACACCACATATACACGGTGCCAAATCCCAGAAGACTGCTTTCTTCATAGTCACGGCCGTGAAAGCCTCAAATCTTACAAGTTTCACATCGTCGTCATACCGGTATTTATGTATTGAAACATGAAAATTGTTATATGAAATTCTTTCAGAATTCTGGTGGAGGCACGTATCGGAAACAGAAGATAATTAATTTGATATGACTTCTTTGTAAGATAATAGGAAACATCCGTTGGAAAGCGTATATACTGATTTCAGAGGGTTCTGATGATGGTGTCTTACATATGTTATTATTAGTTTCCTGGACGTCGTCAATTTTCCGACATTCCAAGATGAAACACCACGTTTACGGAGCTGTATCTGCTCCTGTAATCAGGTAAAGAGCAGCTGCTCATTCCAGTGACGGGGTTCTTCTTCTTCCCATTCTGTTGCTCCCACTTTAAGCACAGGACATCCGTGAAACGCTTCGTTTCACTTCAGTTTCTTAATCTTAGACAGTCGGTAGGACTCCTTGGACGGGGGATCAGTCCCTTGCAAAACCTCAAACTGACACGAACACAGAATAAACGCAGATATCTATGCTTTGAGTGGGATTCGAACACACAATCCCAGCGTTCGAGCGGGCGAAGACATTTCATGTCACTGCCATCGGTAGTGATGGGATTAGCTATTTTTAACGCAGCCAACTGAGGTGGTGCTACCCTTCACTTGAGGACGGGAGCAGATATTTTAGAATATGGGACGACTTTCAAAGAACTAACAACACTAAGGGAAATTAGTATTAAATTTAATCTTAAGGAAGTGTGAGGGTAGAAGGCGATGAAGTCGCTTAAGAGCACTCTCCTATCAGTGGCGCTGAAACTTAGGGTTCTGAGGCAAGACAACCACTTCGTTGATAAGCTGGTAAGGTCGCCAATGTGACAACAAAGGAGTACGTATGGTTGCTAGTAAATTGTGGCAATATTACCTTATGCTTAAGGCAAACAGAGTAGCCGGGGTGGCGTAGTCGATATAGCGATTGGCTAAGGGCTGGACGAATGAGGGGTCGGTGTTCGAGTCCCGGGAAGGTCAAGACTTTCTTTTGTCCAAATCATCCAAACCGGCTCTGGGGTTCACTCAACCTCCTATTCAACGGATACCGGTGGATCTTTCTCCGGGCGTGAAGCTGACCACTCACCAACTAGCGCCGAGGTCAAGAAAATGTGAATGTATATATCCACTCCCCCATACGCCTTCATGATATAGTTCTTAATTCGTTGATCAGAGGGACAACTTTACCTTTACCTTCAGGCAAACAGAAGATACTACTTCCATGCATCTGTCACAAGTAACATAAATAATATACAAAGAAGCACAGGCCGGTGAGGTGACATAACCGTGCTGAAACCACTCAAAGAAGGTTTATTAAGGGTTCAGAAAAATATCTGAATTAAAAAATTCGCGATATACTGCGACTTCACCGGATGACAAACACAGCTACAGATGTTAATTCTGTACTAGATGCAGAATCTTGATGTCAATATAACAACTGATAATGCTCTTAAACGAGCGTTAAAATAACGCAGATTATTGATTGAATTGCATGTCTGAACTTGTGTTTATCTGTTATCAAGCAATTTAGAGGCCACTCACGTCTGGGTAACCTCCTTAAGTGACCCCTCTTGTCGCAATTAGATACAACAGGAACTGTACCCTGCATATCAGTTATGCTTTATTTATGTGAAACAAAGGCAAGGAATGTAATACAGATGTTATCCGAGAGAAACATGAGAGAACGGGGGAGGATTTTGTTATTACGTCTCGGATTCCGCCTACTTCTTCAGTACGGAACAAGCTCACGATTTCAATAAATCCTACTTCTTGGCGAACTGATATAGCGCCGTTAGTCGACCCCGAGGTGGCGAACAATACATTGAACCGACTTATTCAGTCGTGAAATCAGACTGAAGAATATATTCAACTGTTATTCCGGAGACGGAGGACAGGTCTGGGAATCTATCATCAATCAAATAGCAAAAACCGAACATATATGGGATTGTAAGAATTGTTTTGAAGAAGGGGTTTAGAAGTCATGACAGGACACAAATTCTCTATGCAATACCGGGAAGAGTTCATGCCAGTACACCATCTCCATGGAACGGAATGTTACTTAAGTTCCAGCCTACCCAGCCTACCCAGAAACAGACAGACACAGCTATGAAAATCCGTCTGATTCCATTCCGTTTTATTAATGGAGGTAAAAAGATGGGAGCATGGGTCAGGCATTCTTAGCACAGTGATGGGCTGGGCATGCAACTGGAATGGGGAACGGATTTCGGATTTTTGTACAGAAAACCCCTTGAACAAAGTCAATTTGGAAGACGAATGAGGTGGAAAAATAACATTAAATACACTGATTATGGAGGTAAGATATTAAAATTGGCTGACTCCCTCACAATTTAGCTATTTTCCTGAAACATTACAAATTTAAATCAAATTTCCGGTGGGCAGGCAAAGATTTGTCATCGATTTCTAGATCCAAATTATGTTACTTCAAATATTATCAAAGAGGTTTCAGTAGCACTCCATAAAGAATCCTGCTTTCGTAGACCGTCTCTGTGGTCTAGTGGTCAGAGTTCGTGGCTACAGATCCAGAGGTCCGGGTTCGGTTCCCGGCGGTACCACATTTTCTGAGAATTAGAGGGTCTGGAACGGAGTCCACTCAGACTCATGAGGATAATTGAGGAGCTATTTCATGGAAATAGCGGCTCCGGTCTAAATAACCGAAAATTAATGGCCGTGGGGATTCGTTATGGTCACCACGCGACAACCTCTATCCGTCAAAGTTGGAATTAACTTCGCCGACAAGCGGCGGTGGCTCGGTCGGTATAGTTCGCCTGCGGACTAGAACCACGGAGTTTTATCCTACTTGAGTGGCCTGAAATTAGATCGAAATAAGGAGACAGGCAGGTCCGAAGCCTGAAGTCAGAGAAATAAGTAGGAATGTGGACTACTCACCAGAATCACTGCTTGTTGCATTGACAGATCCAACGATGGAACCCTTCCCGACATCCTCTTTCACTGCAAATGTATACCTCGACCTTTCAAAAATAGGCGGCCTCTGAGCTGAGTCCGTAACACTTAGAAAGACCTCCGCATCCTGGAAGGACCTCAGACCTCCTCCGTCTGTGGCCGTTATGTTCAGTCTGTGGTACGGAGCTGTTCTGGTCGACAGAAGACTAGGTCTAGTCACAAATATCTCTCCACTGTTTCGATCTATTCGGAAGAGTTCGGCGTCATTTCCGGCAACAATTCTGTATGTGATGGATCCATAGCGACCTGAATCCAAATCCGTCGCTACGACAACGACTACAGGAGAGGACGAAGAAGAAGAACCGCCCCCTTCTCGTAAGGAGACATTATACTCTCTCGGGTAGAAGACAGGCTGGTTGTCGTTCACATCTGTCAGCTGAATCTTCACCACTGCTGTCGTACTAAGGCCCCCTGCAAAACACGCAACATCGGTATTAATGCGACTAGAAGTTTCGAAAATATATTACGACCCATATATGAATATACACATAGACTGAGTGTGTTTGAGAACAGGGTGTTGAGGAGAATATTTGGACCAAAGAGAGGTGAAGTCACAGGAGGTTGGAGAAAATTGCATAATGAGGAGCTTCATAACTTGTACTCTTCTCCAGGTATACTTAGAATGATCAAGTCAAGGAGGATGAGGTGGGCAGGTCATGTAGAACGAATGGGGGAGACGAGGAATGCGTATAGGATATTGGTGGGAACGCCAGAAGGAAACAGACCACAGGGAAGACCAAGGCGTAGGTGGGTGGACAATATTAGAATGGATCTTAGAGAGATAGGATGGGATGGCATTGATTGGATAGATCTGGCTCAGGATAGGGACCAGTGGAGGGCTCTTGTGAACACGGTGATGAACCTTCGGGTTCCATGAAAGGCTGGGAAATTCTTGAGTAGCTGCAGAATTGGCGGCTTCTCAACAAAGGCTCAGCTGCATGAGTAAGTAAGTAAGTAAGTAAGTAATATGTATATACATGTATACAGAAAGAGGCAGCTGTAACAAGACAATTTAGCATATCACACAATAAGGTACTTTGCAAATTACAGAGAACATTTAATACGGCTGTGGTATTGGAACCAAATAAGCTGCGATGAAATTTGACAGTGGGATAGAGGACAAGAAGAATGCATAAAAACTTCTGTTTCGGAAAAACCTCTTGGAAAGCGGGCATTTGGAAGACCGGGAAGAAAATGGAAGAATCCTTTCCAATTCATTTTCATAAACCATTCAGCCACTCGACACTATACAGACTGAGATAGAGACAGTGTCGTTAAATATATCATAACTGAAGCGAACTTCATGGAACTAAGGCTTTCTTGAGAAGCCGCTAGTTATGCAGCAACTCTAGAATTTCCCAGCACTTTATGAAAGTCAAATTTTCATTACCAGATTCATAAGAGCTCTCCACTGATCCCTATCCTGAGCCAGATCAATCCAGTCCATACCACGCCATTCTATTGTTCCAAATTCATTTTAATATTATCCACCCAACAAAGTGTCAGTATTCCTAATGGTCTACTTCCTTCTGGCTAATGAATTCCTCTTATTACCACTGGTGCTATATGCTCTGCCCATCTCATACTACTAGAATTGATCATTCTAATTATATTTGATGAAGATTACAAGCTATGAAGCTCTTCATTACGCAGTTTTTTCAATTTCCTGTCACTTTATCTACCTTCGGTCCAAATATTCTCCTCAGCACCCAGTTCTCAGTCACCCTCACTCTATGTTCCTCCATTACTGTCAGAGTTTCACACCAATACAGAACCACAAGTAAAACTATACTTTCGTATATTCTAATTTTTACGTCTTTAGATAGCAGACGAGAAGACAAAAGGTTCTGAAATTATTGGTAACAAGCATGCCCAAATTCAGTCTCCTCTTAATTGCCCCCTGAATCAAATTTGATTTGTTAATGTCTTTCCAAAATATATGAAAGGTGCTATTCGTTAAATACACCATAAATAAATTAAATTCAGCCGAGGTAAAACACAAGAATTTGTGGGAAGAATTAATCTCCTACTTTCCTTGATAAGATATTGACACATAGAAAATGACGTGTTCAACAATTCCTCCACCGTTGCGTGTGTATTCGTTGCCGCGGTAACGTTTTACCGAGCCATTGCCTAGTAACAATAGGAGGATTAATGGGAGGTACTTATGTAGTACGCCGTTGAGATGGGCTCAGCTGCCATATTATACATACCAGGTTTCATAAAGATTGGTTCATCAATTCAAAAGTTAATAGAGGGGACACACAGACAGCATGGTGACCGCATAAGCCTACTTTCATTTTTTTTTCAAAATAAAGAAAATAGACTAAATAGTGCGTTACTTATACCCAAAAAGAACTGTCTTTCACATAAAACCATTCTCATGTCGTTCTTCATTTACGAGGCACCATATGGTTGGAACAGTAATCTGAAACTCTTAGTGGTAAAATGACATTAAGTTGCGACCATTTGTCAGCGCGGAACACGAATCGTAATCCCTGTCTGTGATTCATCACTCATAACTTGCAAATCTTTCATTCGTCTCTTTCTGTTCCTTTGAAATAAAACGATTAGGGGCACTCCCGCATCACAGCGAGCGGAGCGACGTATCCCAATTTTGTTTGTGAGAATCTGTCCCGAGGTTACAACCGTATCATTGCCCCCTATTGTTAAGCAACCCTCCGTGGTCTTGTCTGCAACCACGTGTCCTCTCAAGAACATCTCCGTCTTGTAGCTGCAGCATCCAAGTCCCATAGCTTCGCTAACTGAAGCATACCGTTATGCAGAACTTTTTACACATATTAGTCGATGGGAAAGAAAAAGTTATAGCTGTTTTACGACAAAGATAAATTAGTTCTCCGTGCTTAGGTGTAATATAGGATATGCGGTAGCAAATCTCGGCCCATTCTGGAAGTTACCACAAGATGGAGTTGAGCAGTTTTTAAATCCTGGCGCCGGCATCATCACCCCTCAGAAAGAGCCCTAGGCATTTATTAGATAGAAGGCTTGGGGGGGGGGTCACAGCTTTCATGGAAGTACTGTCCCGTTGAAGGGAGGCTAAGTCCGGTCTATTAGCCAGTAGCTAGATATTTCAATGAACGATAAAAGTTATACAAATTCCTCTGTGTCTATGTACCTCGCAATAATATCTTCTTAGTGGGATGGTGGTTGCTAAAGCTGTAAATCAATAACAGCAGGAATATTAATTGGAGATGAATGTGATTTTAAATTTAATAAATGTAATATCTCTATGGTCTAGTGGTCAGCGTTCCTAGCTACAGATGTCCTGGGTTCGATTCCCGGCGGTACGAGATTTCCTGAGAAGTAGTGGATCTGGAACGGGGACCATTCAGCCTCGTGAGGATAATTGAGCAGATAGTTCAAGGAAATAGCGGCTCCGGTCTAGAAAACCGAGAATAACGGCTGTGGGGATCCGTTGCGCTGACCACGCGACACCCTCTATCCGTATAAGTTGGAAATAACTTCGCCGACAAGCGGCGGTCGCTCGGTCAGTATAGTTAGCTCGTGGACTATAGGCCATGGAGTGATATGAGTGTCTTAAATGTTGTGTTTAAATTGCCGACGAATGCATTATTCTATAGTAATAATAACACTCTGTCATTATCATGCTACAACATGGTTAATTAGAACTGTGAAACCAGCATACAGCCGTTGCTAGTGAACGGATCTGCCATCACGCCCATTGCAAGGCAAAGGATTCCTAACACGCAACAATGGAGTAACTGGGAACTGGAGTTCTCTACGCGATCCGTGGGACAGCTACGTGATGCAACTACAGAACTGCTGGAAGAAGTGTTTTCTTTGCGATCCGTGCCGAGGTGCTATAAGCAGAGCAAGTCTAGAGTTCAGTTGAGTTGTGAGACACTTGCCGGCCAGTAAGGATGTGAACACGAAAGTTGAGAAGCTACGGAGCTGGAGACCGTTACCAGGAGACAACCCGTGAAGATACAGCAGACTGAGGAGAATTCGTACTTGCTGTAGTGAACTGTAGAGTGTGTGAATTAGCGATAGCTCTATAGTTAATTGTAGTTACGATATGTAAGTGTTCAATAAATCCAAATACCAATCCAAACCCTGCCCATAGTCACTCAAACACGTGATATAATAATATTTAATAAAAATGTGAACAATATTTAACATAAATTTCTATAGAGTTTTTAAATTCCTTAGTTATAATTTGAATAAAATAAAGAAGCGGTAGGCTTCGTATGAGGGGGGTGGGGGACCAGCCTCGATCTGATTTTGGAGCCGAAGAGAAAACTGTGTCACCTCTGGAAATCGCACTCCGGTCACGAAACATGAGACATGCAAAATTATATACCAAATTAATGAATAGGTAAATAAAGAGGCAAAACTCACTTCAGGATTAGGCCAGGCACAAAGGACAACGCCACAAGTGTTGGGAAATGGAATATGGAGGGTGTATTTTGCTAGGATTCAGTGAAACTTAGAATCTGGAAACAAAATTAGTATTATCAGAAACGTTAGTTCCTTGTGAAGAAACTGTTTCAAAATTAATTTCTTTCGATTAGGGACGTGGAGAAATACATTGGACGCCACCCTTTGTAATCACGGATAATATTATCAACTGTGTAATATTATAGATTTCATGAAGTCCCGGTTCGACGTATACTAATACACAGAAAAAAATACGTTTATTGTAATCACAACTTTAGTTTTTATCATAGCTTTTTTTTTCTTCTTTTTTTCGCTTTATCGCAGCCTTGACGCATGCGCAGTGCAAGTGATTACTTAACATCCCGATTTGATCTTTTGCTCAGAAGGTGACTATGAGCGCTTCATTACCGACTTTCTCAGAAAACACAATAACCAACATTAAAAAAAATTGTCTATTTTTTTTTAATATTTTCTTAATTTTTTTAAGTTGTATATGGATATCCAGAAATACTATGACAGTTTCATTTTAACTGGTGAATTTCTCGACGAAATAGTGGATTATTTTAAGTATTTTATATTTCTTGATTTTAAAGTTAAGTTTCTATGCACTTACAATTTTCATGTACATATCTCTGCTCTGGATCAACAAACACTTAACAACTTCATTCTTGTTTCATCTGTTAGTATTATCAATGAAGCTGTGTCGAGGAGTGATCACAACAAACGTGTCCACTGTCTTTATTTAATGTGAATGAAGGAGGGATGTTCAAAATGCAATACTTGTAGGAAGTAAGGAAGACAGATACATATGTTCCGTTAACGAAAGGGTTGGGTCTAATTTTAGTCGCTGTGTATCAACTTTATACCGAATGATATCATATACCTGCAATAAGCATTGGTTCTCGCGGGAGGAAAGATCCTGTAATGTACGAGTAAATACATTACATTAAAGATAAGCCACTACTGACTGGATTCTTCTCGTGATTTATTGCTAGAAAGACCTATCAAAGCAACCACTGTACTGCATATGGTTGATGATGAAAGTGACTACGATTAGAGTTACTATGCAATACAGAAACATTATTTACTTGTGTTGTAAACTGTTACGTTGGAAAGGACGAGTACCTAAGGAAAAAATAAAAACCACGGATAAACAAATACGCCTACGACATATCCTTTCATATACCGGCAGCAGAATAACTGCTAATCTACTTTTAAAAACTGCCAAAATCACTGTCATCTATCTTACACATACAAATGAATAAAATCACGATTCGCGCATTTTTTCACACAATTTAAATTTCAATTTATCTCCTCTGTAATAGAACGAAACTGACAGGGAAATCTTTCAACGTTTCTTTCTATTTGAAGAGCCATATTCTACGTCAGGACTAACAGGCTGTTTGGGATAATTTTTCAAGACGTGTCCCTTGTATATGCATGATAAGTCTCTTTGAGAGAATTCTGTCGCATTTGATTAAAGTTATGAGCCGGGAAACCTGAATAATAATGCGACTGCTGTGGTCTGGACGACTGGGAATACAATCCCAAGAGGGCCAAGAAATTTTTCTTTGCCAATATTCTGGGAACCACAATATCTGATATCAAAAAATTATATGCGAGAATCCTTCTCTGGGAATTAAACAGCTGACGCGTGGATCTTTACGTCCATTCCTGATTCGTCTTAATAGTGTTGTATTTAATCAAAAGAACAACTTTATCTCTTATTTTCGATCTAAGTTCCGTGTAAAGCACAGACGTTGTAATAACAGTTTCAACACAAAATTATATCTACCATTTCTACAGCAGATCACTCATAGTAGATTTAATTGCAGTTCACAATATTCTGACGTATGAAACACTCATATGGAGACGCAGGTAGACAATTATGACAATCATAGACCTGAGCCTTTCTATCGAAGGTCGCGGAATCGTGAAAAGAACGCCTGTCTCATATCTGTGAAGTCGCAGGTTACACTGTAGGCCAACAGAACGACTAGCCTGGCTGCGGTCCTTAGTTTTCCACAGTCTTTCCAAACAATTTCAGATATATTGTGTTAAAATAGGTCACGGTGACTTCCTTATCTTTTTTAAGTCACTATTCATCCTACCGCTGGACAAAATACAACATACTCAGCTCAAAAAAATATCGTTGAAGAACTTCAGATCGATAAATGTTGACTTGAAGCACTGATTTCGAAGACGGCAAAAAAAAAGTTCACCCTGAAAAAACAACGTGGTTTTTCACACTTCCCGCAGGATGGTATTCTGCAGTGGTGCCGTGAATGTCCGTCAGGCGGGTTGAGAGTAGCCTGCGACTGATACGGCGGACTGACTGGATTCCTCACCTGACATCTGCCTGATTTATGAATCAAACTGTGTGAGCGACAGATTCCACGATCTCCCTTGTTCCTCTTTCTCTTTCTTTCATTCTCTTGTTCCCTTTCAGCCGTCTCCTCCAACTGCGTACAGGCGTTCACCCGCAATGCATTACGACCATTTCATTTACTGATGATCCTAATATGAATAAAATACAATACATTCCAGAGGGTTATCTCGATGTATCACCTACCAACATGCAACATCGCGTTTCTGATATTTGGCTAAAATCTTACGCGAATAACATTTTCTTAATAGAAACCTTCTTTTTTATGTGGTAATCTCATGCAGCAGTCGCATTTACAGACCAGGCCCACAGTCTTCTGTAACCAAAGTCTCATTTGAGCTCGTTCATTATGTGTCTTCAATCGGGGAAAAAGAAGACCTCCGCATACAGACCTTAAATAAGGTGCAGGGCTAACGACGCCCCATAGTGAAACAGTTCTACAGTATGAAACTTTCGAAAATATATCGAAACTTTGCGGATTGATATAATTAACCAGGCAAAACAGGATGACATTATGGACAGAGAGTTAACATAAGATTGTGTAAAATGGTGGCTTTTGATAATCGACTGCCAGAATTCCATATAATTTGAATACTAACAATTGATCTAAGTATTTAAGACGCATCTTTCAACATGTCAGAATAAACTGTGTCAATTTTGGTTAAGGTTGATTTGTACACAGGACAACAAAAACAGAACAGATTGTACTCATACAAATTTATAACATTGGAGATTTGTTTATTAACATTTTACAGCATTTAAAATTGTTTATAAAGTTTAAGAACGCTTAATTCTCTACATATATAGGCTTTGTTTCAACTGGGTTTCTAAACTATGTTAGGAACATAATCACAGCAAAAATGACTCTGTCCATCGGGAGTAGGGGGTCACGCGGTAGCGTAGTTGGTTGAGGCACTATGCTACCAGCCGGAAGGTCGCGGGTTCGAGTCCCCATGAGGTGGATTTTTTTTTTCATTTGATCTAATCCTTCCAGCCGCACTATGGTCCTGGGATCGACTCAACCTCTAACAGAAATGAGTACCAGGAAGATTCATGGGAGTAAAGGGAGGCCGGCGCGTTAGGCTGACAACCTCACTGCCATCTGTGAGCCGATTAACTAGATGTGGCAGTCTCGACGTCTCACAACCATATGGGCCTTCACGGCCTGTTACAGGGATAGTTTTATTTACTTATCGAGAGCAGAGACCAATATAAAAATCGGATTTGGAACTAATTTTCAGGCATAATTTTGTCATAAATGGAGTTCAGAGTTATCCTACTTGCAGTTGCCCTAACTTATATGTTTGTATCTCGACTTCTTTTTGGAGCAGCGGGTTTTAAAAATCATTCAAACCAAATGATATTTTATTATATATATTAGCAAGACCGATGACATATACTTGGTCCTTTCATCCTCTCTTTAGATGCAATTGTGTTCTTTTGTGCACTCTCTGAGTAATGGCTGTCTCTTTATCTCCTAAATAGGCCGCGCCATAGCTCAAGCGGTTAGTCGCTGACTTCCCCCCGCGGCGGCTCGGGTTCGATCTCGTGTCTGGTCAAGTGGGATTTGTGGTGGACAAAGTGACGCTGGGGCGGGTTTTCTCCGAGTACTTCGGTTTCCCCTGCCAATCTTCATTCTACCAACTTCTCCATCATCATGATCACCCGGGGCAGGCTACAATAGGCCAATCGATGGCCGCCGTGCCGAGTGGACCCAGTTGGACTCCACTCCCCACTAAACGAATTTAAAAAATTCTCCCAAATACCCCCTACCATAAAAGTAGGCCATACACCGCATAATGGTCCCAGATATAATTAAATAGGTCCACTGTGATGATTCGAGGGACGCGGTAGCGTAGTTCCATGAGGCACTACGCTACAAGCCGGAAGGTCGCGGGGTTAATCTTCGATGAGGTCCCTGTATTTTCTCAATTGATCTAATCCTTCCAGCCCCATAAAGGCCCTGTGGTCGACTCAGGCTCTAGCAGAAATGAGTATCAGGGATCTTTCTGGGGGTAAAAGGCTAACAACCTCACCACCATCTGTGAGCCGATTGTCTTACAATCTATGGGCCTTCACGGCCTGACACAAGGACCTGCTTTACCTTTCTTGTGATGATTCTCTCGGTAATACTTCAGTCATGAGACATATGTAACCTTAAGAAAGGGTTCAGGCACCAAAACTCAGATGGGCTTTCTAAAGAGCAAAGAGACTGGATATTACACGGAATGCTGAGTACAAGCTGAACTTCTTATAGAAAGTGCCTGTACGTCCACAGTGGCATTTCCCCTCTTGTATGCAACACAACAATGCCTATAATGGCTCCTATGTGACTTTAAAGTCAGCCGCAGCGTGAGGCTGAATTAAAGTCCAACTTCATACAAAACCCAGTCCTCTCACTTGCAAATTAAGTTCTCTATACGTCACCACCGTTTCAATCCCAAACACATCTCAAGGACGAAACTTTTCGTAATTCTTAAAAATGGTTTACCTCTCACAAACAAACAATATTGTCATGTATTAGAGGTTTGCGTGACTAATAATAACGGCTTTTTGACTGGATGGTTGGATTTATTAACACCTTCTTGTACTACAATCTCTCTTAATCACAATCAACTCGCAATCAATCTTCAGCCGAATCCTTCTTCCTTGACTTCAGAGGACTCCTTCCATTCTCGTTCTTATTCTACGACTGACTTCATTCGGTTCTGTACTACTTACATAGTCTCGAGGCGGATCCATGGAAAACACATCCTGTATTGTTGATACAGCCTGTTTACCGCGTCGTTGCTTAGCAGTATATATCCTATTGTTCCACGCGTTTACTTCTGGGGGAATTTAGCCTAGCAATGGGCATGGTACGGACGATATAGAAAACACATCTTGCAATATCTTTCTATTGTTGCGTGTGTGTACTGCGGGCGTTCTACAGAAATTAGCCTACATGTCACAGTATAAGTGGTTTGTATATGCGCCACGTACTTCGTGACGAATTGGTAATCTACTCACCTCTATCTGTTGCTATGATAGGGAACTCGTACACACTGCGTGTCTCGAAGTCCAGCTCTCCTGCTATACAAACTTCACCACTACCGGAGCGAACTTCGAAATCCCGCACTTTTCCAAAACTATCACCCAGCGTGTAGTTGACCATGGCGTTGACTCCACAGTCAGGATCTGTAGCCGAAACCTGGAAAACAAATCACGGTACGTTAACAGCGATGTTAATGTTTCTTAAAAAATTACAAAGCTAAGTATCACTGGGAAGAGTCGGTGTAGTGACAGTGGTCACACCTACAGAACAGGGAAAACAAGGACAATAAAAAATATTACTTAGTAAATTGCAGTCATCATCCAATATTTCTATGGCTTTGTGGAAATTACCCATCATCTTGTGTTTTAAATAAAAATTGAATTGATAACGTTAAAAATGTCAATAATTGATCCAGTTATCAGTTTAAAAAATTATGCTTGTTCGAGTAGGATAAATCAAGCAATTTCGTAATGTTAATGCCCCTGTATCTAAGCAACAAGCTACTGCTCGCCCATAGTCTCCTTTTCTTCCAATTTTAGTAATATAAGCAGCGTATACAAAGGTTAAATCTTCGCCTACATCTAGGGATGAGGTTAAGAATTGTGGAGCTATACGTCCATTCCCCATAAATCTTCATGGCGTGGTGCTTAATTAATTTAGCCCAGTGATAACTTTACCATATAAGATGGTTATTTCCGAACTTTCCGAAATTCTATTGTTCACATTATTCAAGTTCAAGTTCAAGTTCAAGTTAGTCAATCACAGAGCGTTGAAGAGGTATGGAGTATTGAAAATGCAGTTCCATGTATCAGTTGGAGATAAAGATCAGTTTCACACTCCGGCAGTTTTGTCCCAAAATAAAGGGCCCCATGTATCCATTAGGCAGAGGATTTAATTCACCCCAGAGCCTGTCTGAACGTGACGTAAAAGAGAAAAATTCCTGTCCACGCCAGGAATCAAACATAGACAATTCAGAATTACTGGGTTTTTGGACTTTTTCCATCGTCCGGAATTCTAGGTAATAGAGGACACGACGTTTCGGAAACTGGATCTGTTTCCGTCATCAGGTGAGAAAGGAAGACACCTACTCAGTTGGGCCCCTTAGAAAGAGCTAATCTCAATCAGCAGTCCAAAAACCCAATAATTCTGTGTCATCCACCATCGTCAGGACTATTTAGAATAGACCATCCATTCTGTACGCAGTCACTGTCCTGTTAGACCCTCGCTGTTGATAAAGGTATTACCCTATATTGGGCTTCCATTCTCAAAAATTACATAAACAGATGACGTATATAAGATCTGAGGCTTTCACGGCGGTGACTATGAAGAAAGCAGTCTTCTGGGATTTGGCACCGTGTATATGTGGTGTTAATCGACGTTTCAGAGGAACGTATCGCCTCCATCTTCAGGGTAGAAGGAAAAATATAAGAAATCCGCAAGCGAAGAGACCGTGAGAACCGGTAAAATCAGACGGTTAACACCACACATACACGGTGCCAAATCCCAGAAGACTGCTTTCTTCAGATGAAGTATAGATTGTAAAGTGTAACAGAAATAACCGTTCGAACTAACGGCCTTTAGGACAACAACAGATAGGGATCCAGGTAACGTGGTTATGATTCTTCACGTCTTTTGAAGGGTGGCGTTTGATGAATGGAGAAGACCACGTGGCACCTCCTGTTGTGAAAACACAGGTCTCAACCATGTTGGCATACTGTTATAAGGGTCACAACTAGGAAGTACTGGGTCAAGGGACAGGGCATCCACATGCAAGCTGCTACAATATTGCTATTAACAGACAAGGAAAGCAGATGACGGGCATACAGAGAACTGAAGAGGCAAGTACACTCTTTGCCAATGAACAAGTAGGCCTGTAAGTCGTGATGAAGTTGGCTTCCAGAGCTTTTCAAATAACTGCAGGCCTATAATATAATTTTTCTAAAATCTACTCTATAAAATTCAAATTTCTGGGAATAGGGATTATATTGTACATCGAACTATAAGGGAGACAGGGGGCAAGTTACATATGCCACTTTTCCAGGATGTTTTAATAAATATATTACAACATGAAATTGTCTAAAATCAATTTTAAAATTCAAATGGTACCTCTCGTACAATACACTGCGTCTCCATTAAAATAAGTGGGCCGCGTCATAGCTCAAGCGGTTAGTCACTGGCTTCCCACCGCGGCGGCCCGGGTTCGATCCCGAGTCTCGTCAAGTGGGATTTGTGATGGACAAAGTGGCACTAGGGCAGGTTTTCTCCGAGTACTTCGGTTTCCCCTGCCAATCTTCATTTCACCAATTGCTCCACTATCACCCTCACCTATCATCTGGGGCTGGTACAATAGGCCAGAAGTGGCCGCAGTACAAGGGACTTATTTCCACCCGACTAGCGATAAAAAATGATAACTGGTTAATGTTTATAGAAATAATAACTGTTTATACTGAAAATCATATTGTGACAGGTAGGCGTTTCTAAGAAAAGAATCTGCAAACACGTTTCCACGGAGATAAATTCTTGCAGGCAATCTATTGCTGGGTATCGGACCAATAAACACGGGGCTATAAAATTACGCGATAAGAATTTTCTATGTAGTCCGTGCAGATACAGCAATAGAGGGGCTGTGTTTCTGTGCTTCGTGGTCCGTGCCATGACTTTATAAGGGAGAACGTTTGAAGGAGTAGTCAGTAATCCTGTGTGGAGGCGGGGTAGAATACCTCCATCGCAGGCATGCGAGTCGTAGGAAGCGACGAAAAAGGAAGTCTCGAATCTGAAACAGTAAAAAAAGTCACGAGTCCCACGGGACTCGGATCCGAAAATAACTCCGTTGTCGAGGTCCAGCAGACCCGTCCTCTCGTCAGAGAGAACGCCCTATATCAACAAACCCGCAGATGTCAGACAGTAATAAAAGTCTGGTCGTAAGCCCCAGATGGGAGCTTTATTCCAAATTGACTGGCCGACTGACCGTCGGTCGTATCATAAGACTCAGACTCAAGACTCAGGGGCAGTCAGTTGTCAATAGGAGATATCCACGGGAAGTTAGTAGTCGAAGAAGAATTAGAAGTCAGCCTGTGAAGGCTTCTAGTCCTAGTGAGACTGTTTTAATTCCGTTGCAAGGATGCGACTAGTGAAGAGGAAGAATGCTAGTGCGTGTGTAACGGTGAAATGTAATTTGTGTAAATCAGCGATAGCGCTGCATTGCTTGTAAGTGCGAGTTGTTTGTATAGGGTGTTAATAAATCTATTCATCAATCCAAACCACGTCTATAAGACTAATACAAGTGACAACATGAAGCACATACATGTAAATATATTTTGTGGTCAAAATAAAGAGTTTATAAAAAACACGTGGTAAGTATATGCTTCAAAAGTTTAATAGCTATGCTTTTGCATAGGCCTTTCTTGAAATTAACTAATGAAATAATGATTATGCTTTATTTATAACGAAAATCTTATGAACAAATGTTTAGGTTGACCACAGTTTTCTCTATTTATTGCCCTGATGAGGCTTCAATAATGAATTGAACGGTCAAGCTAAACATAAGATTTCACACAGATCGCTTTTCAACTATGAAAATGGTTACGATAGTCCAGTCTGGTGATGATAAGAAATGGATAACACAGGACTAAAGAACACACATGGGAGCTTCGCGAAAGTAAGACACAAATATTTCATACAAAATATGGAGATATGTTTATGACATAAATTTCATACAATACATAACCATGATTCATCAAACCAAATTTTTAATGTACGTGCCACTCTTTTTATTGTTTATTTCCTTGAAGAACTGACAAAATAAATGCTGCAAACATTTCAAAGTTCTGTTATCTTGTAAAAGGACGGGAACCTATATTGAGATGTGTGGACGCTGCTTCACTACAAAAATTCGCGTGGCCGCCATACCGGTACTGTTGATGGCAGGGAGATAGAAAGATTGGCATGCCATTAGTGTTTGGCCAATTAGTGTCCTTAAGTTGCATGTATAAAATTGAAACAGGCGAATGACGGACAGACAAATGAATATCGTTATTGGGTTCAGAAAAAAAAATATAGTTCGGAACTGACAGGGAGGTCGGACAAGCAAACGGAGATGGCCGAAGGTCCTGAATAAGAGAGAACACTTTTTCAGGACAGTAAAAAAATTTCTTCTGGTTTGGAACAGTTCCTCAGCTAGTCAGGAGATCGTGCTGTTGTCTCTTATGGAACCCGATGGTTCATTACTGTGTTCATAAGAGTCCATTAGTAGATTATATCGTGGGGCAGATGAAACCAGTCCATACTCAAACCCCTGTTCATTTTACATGCACTGCAATATTATCCTTCTTTCCGTGCTTAGTTTTCAGAAGTGGTGTCTTCTGTTCAGGTTTTCCTTCTAAAATTTTGCATGCGTTTTCAATCCATATGTACTACATATTCGGCCCATGTCATTGCCCTTGATTTAATCACGCTAATAATGTAATGTGAATAGTGCAGATTATAATTTTGTAATTATACAGTGCTATCCAGCCTCCTGTTGATTCTAATTCGCCTCTGTTAGGTCCAATTATTCTCCTCCCCCCCCCCTGTTCTCAAACACCCTCAATAGACGCTCTTCCCACTGGGCTATAGTTTCACATCCATACATTCTGTAGGAGGCGGGATAGCTACGGGCTGGATGTCCGAGGGATCGGAATTCGAGTCCCGGTAGGATCAAGAATTTCTTTTTCTCTACGTCGTCCACATCCTATCCAATGGTTACAGGAGGCTCTTCCCCCAGGGATAAAGCGGCCGGGGAGTGAAGCTGACCACTCACCTGCAACTAGTGCCGAGGTCAAATATGGATCTATATATGCATTCCCCCATATGCCTTCATGGTGTAGTGTTTCATTAGTTCAGCAAAGGGACAACTTTACTTTTAACCTTTACCTGAATTGCTCCTGATGGCAAAAACAACTTATAGTCAAAACAGAGGGCAGACTTCCAGTTATAGCTACAGTCTCATTTACCAAATATTTGTCTTCTGAATGACTTCCTTCAAAAGTTAGTGACTTAGAAGATTAAAGCAGGGGAACGGGGAAAGGGTGATTTCAGCTTGTAAAATCTAGGCCTGAACAGATTGCTCCGTCAATAAAGAAGTGGAGGAGGAGGAGGAGGAGGAAGAGGAGGAGGAC